GATAAACAATACATAAAACAAGTAAAAACGAAAAAGAAAAGAGAAAGAAAACAACCACAAGAAAGAAAATAAAATATAGGAGGAGAAAAAATAAAAGAAAACACAAAAACAAACGCACAAAACAAAAACAAAAATAATAAAAAACAACAAAAATCAACATCAAAAAAAGAAAACACGAAAATAGGAAACAACTCAAAACAACAACAAGAAACAGGAGAAGGTTAAAACAATCTCTCTAACTTGGTGTTTAAATCGGTAACCCCGCGTTCGCATAAGAGACACGAATGCGCGTGTGTCTACCAGCGAAGAGACTAGTGGATCACTCATTACCCAGTCGTCATTATTAGACAACAAATATGTTTTCTTAAGCCATTATTGTTACATTTCTTTCTTTCTTTCTTTCTTTTCTTTTCATTTTGCATTCTTGGAATTCCCGTCAAGAGGGTGAAAAGTGAAATATGGCGGGATATTTAGAGAGTGTTGGCATTTTTTTTTTCTTTTTGGTGGTGGTGGTGGGGGGGGGGGTTATATCATTAGAAATCCCTTTCAAATAATTATTAAAAAGATGAAAATGCATTATTTTTTCTCTCTTGTTTACATTACTGGACAAAAGTAAGTGCGAAAGAGATAAATCAATTAATTAATATCAGTTATACATATTTCATATTTATGACGGGAATTCCAAATAAAAAAATAAGAAAATGAACATAGAGTTATCTATCCTAACATCCAAAAAAAAGAAGTGAAAAAAGAAATGAAAGTTAAATTATTTTGTCACCTAAAGAATAAAAGTCAAAATGATGCATTCCATAATATGCAAAAAAAAAAAAAAAAAAAAAAAAAAAAAAAAAAAAACATATTTTGAACGATCATATTTCCCTACTTAAAAAAAACACGGTTCTCTGTACCTATATACATCCTAATATTTACATTACTTCTAAATCAAACCAAACCACATTAGATTGGGAGATCCGACAGCATCAATTTACTTACATTACTTACATTACTTAAAGATAAAGATATAATATTAAGATTAAAGGTCAAATTGAGAATATATGAAAGAGTATGTCCTTTTACGTCGCGGTGCCTCTTTGGAAAGAAAATACGAATGGAAAAAGTTTTTTTGAAGTATAAATGCTATTGGTTGAAATAATTATCAAAATATGAAAAAAGTAAGATGAACAAAGAATGATGATAATAATGATAACAATGGTTATGGTAATAATAATAGTGATAATAATAATGATAGTAATAATGATAATGATGATAATAATAATAATAATAATAATGATAATAATGATAATAGTAATAATAATAATAATGATAATAATAATAATAATAATAATAATAATAATAATAATAACAATGATAATAATACCAATAATAATAATAATGATAATAATACCAATAATAATGATAATGATAATAATAATAATAAGATGTTGATAATAATAATGACATTAATGACCATAATAATCATAATAATAATAATAATAATGATAATAATAACAACAATGGCAACAACAATAATAATAATAATAGCCATAATCACAATAACAAAGAACACGAATAACAGTGAAAAGATAATAATAACACAAGAAAAGAGGTTTCCCAGAAAAGTTTCCTATAATTCTCTCTACATCTGTACATAACTCATCTTAGCATAGATGCTGAGGGAGGCAGATGAGAAAATGGAGGGTTGCGTGTTAAAAAAAAAAAAAAAAAAAAAAAAAAAAAAAAAAAAAAATGGGGAGGGGGGGGGAGTTGGGAGGGGGAGGGGGGGAGTTGGGAGGGGGAGGGGGGGGAAGAAACTCAAAACAAGGGAAGACGGAATAATGAAGGAGAGAGAGAGAGAGAGAGAGAGAGAGAGAGAGAGAGAGAGAGAGAGAATGAGAGAGAGAGAGAGAGAGAGAAAGAATGAGAGAGAGAGAGAGAGAGAAAGAATGAGAGAGAGAGAGAGAGAGAGAGAGAGAAGGGGGGAGGGGGCGGGGGAGGGGGGCGAAACACAAAACAAGGGAAGACGGAATAATGAAGGAGAGAGAGAGAGAGAAGGGGGGGGGGAGAGGGAGAGAGGGAGAGGGAGGTCAAGTGAGGTCAGTTTGGATTGACTTTGACCCTTGTTTATTTATTTATTTATTTGTTTGGTTGTGTTATGAATTATTTTATTAAAATGAGATCGCTTTTTCCCGTCTATTTTGAATTTCAGTCTTTTTTTTTTATAACACTTTCGACGAAATTATTTTTCTTTTGTTAGATTATATTCCTTATACTAATTCTCCAAGAAAAAAAAGTAAATCAGTTATTTTTTCTGCTGTTTGTTTATATTTCTTATACTAATACAAGAAAAAAGTCAGTTACTACACAGAAAGATTTTGCTAATAATTTACCGTCTAAGTTGTTGTTGTTTTCTTTAATTGTTGTTGCATGTGATACACTAAACCTGGATTTCCTTAACATAACATTTATCTATATTCAAAAAAAAAAAAAAAAAAAAAAAAAAGTTGCATTACACAGCATAAATCCATATAACAAAATCTTTCAGTCAAGAATTGATTTTTTTTTTACATTATTTAGCATAAAAAAATGAACAGAAGAAAGGCATTTTTCAAAAAAAAAACCGACAAACTTTCTTTGTTTTTGTTGTTGTTTGGAGATGATGTTTTTGTTTTTGTTTTTGTCTCTCCAGTATATACATATATATTTTTTTTTGTGTGTGTGTATACCTTATCTCCCTTCTTCTTCTTCCTCTTCTTCTTCCTCTTCTTCTCCTTCCTCCTCCTCTTCTTTTCATCATTACCATCCCTCTTCTCCCCCACATCACCATTTTTCATCTACATCTCCTTCATCTTCAACATTTTTCTCCTCATTTCTTCTTTTTCTTCTTCTCTTTCTTCCTTCTTCTTCTTCTCCTCCTCTTTTCTCCTTTATTCCTCTATTCATCCCTAACTCGACGATTCATATTTAATTGCAGAATCATCCAAGGGCTCTAGCACAGGAATCCTGGAAGAGAGAGAACAGTTATTTATTTTCTTTTATTTATTTTCTTTTTTTTTCTCTTTTTTTTCTTTATTAGTATTAGGGGGGGAGGGGAGGGGGTTGAGACCGTATCCTTTTTTATTTTATTTTATTTTTATTTTTATTTTATTTTATTTTTATTTTATTTTTTATTTTTATTTTATTTTTATTTTATTTTTATTTTATTTTTATTTTATTTTATTTTTATTTTATTTTATTTTATTTTAATGAAGATGATGATGAAGATGATGGTAATACTAATCGTAATAGTAATAATAATAATAACACTAATGGTAATAGTAATAGAAATGGTCATAATAGTAATAATGATAATAGGAGTATTAATATTAGGAATAGTAATAATAGCAATAATAATAGTAATAGTAATAGTAAGAATTACAATGGTAATAGTAATAGTAATAATAATAATAATAATAATAATAATAATAATAATAATAATAATAATAATAATAATAATAATAATAATAATAATAATAATAATAATAATGATAATAATAATAATAATAGTAGTAGTAGTAGTAGTATTAACAATAGTAATAATAATAATAATAATCATGATAATGATAATGACAACGATAATGCTTCTGATGATGAGGAGGATAATAATCTTGATAATAATAATAATAATAATGGTGATAATGACAATGATAATGATAATAATAGCAGCAGCAGTAACAACAACAAACAACAATAATAATATTATTAATGATAATAATACTAAAGATCACCATCACCACCATCAACATCAATCACCATCACAATCAATCACCTCCATCATCACCAAACACCATCACCATCAAACCAGAACTTACTCCTTCAACACCATCACCACCAATCACCATCATCACCATCAATCACCACCATCACCACCAAACCAACACTTACTCCTTGAACACCTTCACCACCATCATCACCATCAAACCAACACTTACTACTTCATCACCATCACCATCATCACCACCATCACCACCAAACCAACACTTACTAATCCATCACCATCACCACCAATCACCACCATCATCATCATCAAACCAACACTTACTACTTCATCACCATCACCATCATCACCACCATCACCACCAAACCAACACTTACTAATCCAATCCATCACATCACCAATCAATCATCATCAAACCAACACTTACTACTCATCACATCACCATCACACCACCATCACACCAAACCAACACTTACTAATCCATCACCATCACCACCAATCACCACCATCATCATCATCAAACCAACACTTACTACTTCATCACCATCACCACCAAACCAACACTTACTAATCCATCACCATCACCATCATCACCACCAAACCAATACTTACTCCTTCAACACCTGATGCGACAGATGTTGCGAATTGGGCAACACGTGCTGAGGCGTCGCCGAAGGGGAGGGAGGGTAGGCCGCCAGCAGCTGCCCGGACGAAGCCACGTGGGCCAGCGAATGGGCGGACGTGGGCAGGAGGTGGGCGGCCTGGTTGTGGATCGTCACGCCCGCGATCGACGCCCCCGCGGTGCTGCCTCCGCCGCCGCCGCCGCCCGCGTAGTGTTCGGCGGCGTGGTGGTCGGCATAGTTGGTGATGACTGTGGATACTGTGGGGGGAGAGGGGAGGGGGTGAGTGGGGGGGGAGATGTATGTATATATATTTATATATATATATATACATATATATGTATGTATATATATTTATATATATATATATATATATATATATATATATATATATATATATATATACATATATATATATATATATATATATATATATATATATATATATATATATATATATGTATATATATATACATATATATATATATATATATATATATATATATATATATATATATATATTTATATATACATATATATATACATATATATATATATATATATATATATATATATATATATATATATATATATATATGTGTGTGTGTGTGTGTGTGTGTGTGTGTGTGTGTGTGTGTGTGTGTGTGTGTGCATGTATGTATATATAATATATAAATATTAAATATGTACATATATACATATATACATATCTATCTATCTATATATGTGTGTGTGTGTGTGTGTGTGTGTGTGTGTGTGTGTGTGTGTGTGTGTGTGTGTGTGTGTGTGTGTGTGTGTGTGTGTGTGTGTGTGTGATAGACACACACACACACACACACACATATATATATATATATATATATATATATATATATATATATATATATATATATATATATATATATATACATATATATATATACATACATATATGTATATATATATATATATATATATATATATATATATATATATATATATATATATATATATGTATATGTATATATATATATATGTATATATATATACAGATATAGATATAGACATATAAACATTTATACATATATATATATATATATATATATATATATATATATATATATATATATATATATATATATATATACAAACAGAAAAAAACGACCACCAGATAAAAGTCGGCCAAGATTTATCGCCAAAGCCCAGAAATCTTATCGCAGTAGATAAAAGTAGAGCTTCGGCAGCTCCGCGTCCCTCGCAAAGCACCGCCATGCATGCAACCGACTACGCATGCAACAGAAAAAAACACGGGAGAAATAGAGACATTTACTTTATCTTTATCTCCAATATTTCGCGATATTTATGAGGGCGAGAGGGGCATGGCCGGACCGGGTAAACAAGGCGGATAATATTTATATATAAAAAAGAGAGAATGATAATAATAACGATAATAATAGAAGATAGAAATGCGTTATGGTTGCTGTGCATGATATCGTCGCCGGAAATTTGTTTTTTTGTTTTTAGGAAAGGATTATGGGGGTGTTTGATCACTGTACTTCTGTTCATAAAAGGATCGAATGTTATATACTGAAGACGTTATCATGATAATTACAATAATTCGATGGCGATGATGATAATATTAAGAGCAGCAAGGGTGATAATGTTATCAATAACAATTAAAATCACAGTCATTAGTATTATTGTGATTATCATCATTATGATATCTAATTATCATTAAAAAATTCCGCAGCTAAAGTTTCTACGTACACACACACACACATACACACACACACACACACACACATACACACACACACACACACACACACACACACACACACACACACACACACACACACACACACACACACACACATATATATATATATATATATATATATATATATATATATATATATATATATATATATATATATGCATATATATGTGTGTGCGCGGTAACAAGCATAAACTGTTTTGGAGAAAGGAGTTCGTGACGTCACTCAAAAATACACAGTACTCTAAATATCTATTTACATTTTAATTTCTATCATATCATACCCTAAATACGCATTTACTAAATATCCATTCCTCATATACACCATATAAGCGTTCTTTATCATAACGTAAGCATTGTTTTAAAGTAAAAATACCTGTGTCTACGCTGCCATCTATCGGCAAATTTGACAGTTCTCTTGTTACAGTGCTCGTTACGGAAGTGATATTTGTTTACAGTGCTAATTTTGTTTCCGAATTCTTTCCTGATATTTGTTGCGGTCTTAAGGATAAAAAAATAAGTTCAGTGAAGTGTAATAATCTTGTTTTTTTTTCAACTTAAAGAATTTCGTCAGAGGTTCGCCCTCCCCTTCAGCCATAAGGTAAAGACAACTTGCATCTTTAATTGTTAAGGAAATTGTAAAAATGGTGAAACAGTTGGGGAGGAAATGCTGTAATTGGGAAGAGGGAAATTGGGAAGGAAATATGGGAAATTGGGAAGGAAATATGGGAAATTTGAAAGGTTTTTCTTCTGATTCAAACAGCGATGTTAGTGGTGTGGTTTGTGCGAATAAGACGGGGTTCATTGGTTCATTTTTTCGTTGTTTCGTTGTTTCGTTCTCGCAAAGCTGGGTCGAATCTTTTATCATTTAAATGCCTTTTATGTTACTCGTTTTTTGTATGTATACGTAAATACACACAGGCACAGACACACACACACACACACAAACACACATAAACAAACACACACACACACACACACACACACACACACACACACACACACACACACACACACACACACACACACACACACACACACACACACACACACACACACACACACACATACAGACACCAACAATAACAACAAACAACAATATCAACAGCATAAAAAAACACACGTACCATATGCTGGTGGTGGCTGGTGCGTTTTCATAACAGACGAACCTCCGAGGCTAACGCTGGAATGGGGAAAAAAAAAAGGATTTTGTTGGTGTGGTGTTTCTAAGGCAACAGCAACATGTTCATAGATGTGTAGATAGATTGGTAAATGGCGAGGGAATGCGAGGGGGGGGAGGAAGAGAGAGAGGGGGGGGGGAGAGATAGAGGGGGGAGGAAGAGAGATAGAGGGGGGGGAGGAAGAGAGAGAGAGGGGGAAGAAAGAGAGAGGGGGAGAATGAGAGTGAAAGGGGGAGGAAGAGAGAGAGAGAGAGAGACAGACAGACAGACAGAGAGATAGAGAGAGAGACAGACAGACAGACAGAGAGACAGAGAGATGGGGGAGAGATAAATAAAGTGATTAATAAAAATTGTTCAAGCCAATAGATTGATCAATAAGAGTAATCAAAACAGAATATTTATTACGGGAACGCGAAAAAAAGATAAACAGCTAAAGATGCAAAATTGTAGGGAAACAAAGAAGTAAAAGTAGGAAGAAAAAATGGTTTAATTAAACATTTAATGTATGAGATTTAACTGCATAAATTGCATAACATATAAGTTGCACAAACCAGATTTTTATTTTAAGTCATTACAAAGCTTAATAGCCAATACTCTGAAGCTTTATGAACAGAAATAAATAAATGAATAAAGAAATTCATTAATTAATAATAATTGAATACAGATAATATAAATAACTGAATACATAATTATTAATCAATTAACAAAAATCAAACACAGATAATATATACATCCATAACTCAAACACATCAACAAATAAAACAAACATAAACGAACGAATAAAAAAAGAAAAGTAAATAAGCTCGTTACCAACCTGGGTGAGTTCGAATACCTGCTCGCCGTCTGCTGTTGCTGCTGAGACGAAGACGAAGCCGAGGACGTGCTTTTGGGTTTGCGTTTTCTGGTCTGGATCGGACCCTCCTTCTTCATGGTCAGGGGCCGGTTCACCTGAGGGAGAGGGGAGAGTGAGGGAGGGCTGTGAGGGAGAGGGGGAGAGTGAGGGAAGTCTGTGAAGGAGAATGAAGGAGGAGGAGAGAGGGGGAGGGCTGTGAGGAAGAATGAGGGAGGGGGGAAGTAAGGGAGAATAAAGGAGGGGGGGTGTGAAAGAGTAGAAGGAGGGAGGGCTGTGAAGGAGAATGAGGGAGGGGGGGGAGTGAGGGAGAGTGAGGGCGGGGGGAGGGAGTGAAGGAGTGAGGGAGGACTGTAAGAGAATGAGGGAGGTAATGTAGTAGGTATTTTTTGACACAATCCGGTGAAGTGTCCCGTGCCCGTCCCAAGCCCGGATAAAGCGGGAGGGGTTGGCGGTAGGAAGGGCATCCGGCTGTAAAAACGGTAGCTACCACCATGGATAGATGCGTAAAAGAATTTTCGGGGAGGGGGGGGATTTGCTCGGTTGTTCTTTGTTTCTTTGTTTGTTTTCTGTCGTCTCTCTCTCTTTTGTCCTGGCACTCTCTCTTTCTCTCTCTTTCTTTCTTTTGTCCTGTCACTCTCTCTTTCTCTCTCTTTCTCTCTCTCCCTCTCTCCCTCCCCCTCCTTATCTCCTCTCTTGAACTCTTTCTCCCCCGCTCCCTCCCCCTCCTCCCACTCTGCCTTTTAACCTATCTACCTACCCATCTCCGCCTTACATCCACACCCAATTCCTCACCCCCCCCCCCCCGCCCCCTCTCTCTCTTCTTCTCTCCCTCCCACCCACCCTCTCTCCCTCTCTTTCTCTCTCTTCTTCTATCGCTCCGTCTCACTCTCTCTCTCTCTCTCTCTCTCTCTCTCTCTCTCTCTCCTTTCCCCCTCCCTCTCTCCCTTCCTCTTCCCTCCCTCCCCTCCTCTTCCTCTCCTCTTCCCTTCCTCCCCCCTTCTTCCCCTCCCCTTCCTTCTTCTTCCCTCTTCTTCTTCTTCCTCCTCCCTCCCTCCCTCCCTCCCACCCCTCCTCTTCCCCTCCTCTTCCCTTCTTCCCCTCCCCTTCCCTCTTCTTCCCTCTTCTTCTCCTTCCCCCTCCCTATCTCCCTCCCTCTCTCCCTCCCTCCCTTTCGACTCAGCGTACAAAACATCTCTTCAGGATTTGTATCAGAGGATCGATCACCCCCCCACCCCCACCCCGCCGTATTTCCTGCCGTCCTAGCGTCCTCAGAGCGCGATCCACACGCCCCCGCCCCTCTTCCCCCCTCCCCCCTCTCTCTTATCGAAACCAATCAAAACCCGCCCTCTAATCTGCCCCCAATCACAGCCTCCTCCCTCCCGATAGAAAAAAAAAAAAAGTAAAAAAAAAAAAAAAAAAAAAAAAAAAAAAAAAAAAAAAGAGAAAGAAAAAAAAAATGGATCACCGAAGCGAAATTGAGACATTTTTAGTCGAAGAGAGAGAAAAAAAGACCAGAAGAGAGAGAAAAAAAAAGAAAGAGAGAGAAAGAAAAAAAAGGGAAAAACGTAGAATTCGAAACCACCGGCATTTTTATTTTCTTATTTTTTTCCCGCCAAAAAGGTCATCAAGCCTGCCATCTGGTGACTGGACGAGACACTATCAGCGAAGGCGATCTCAGGAGGCCTCACTTCGCGTGATACATTAGGAGACAAACGAGCGGGAAACAATACATCAGCGCCGTAACGACTGCCTAATGACCGCTAAATGGCTGGTTGACGATTGGACGAGGGTAATGGGGGGGGGGGGAATGGGGGGGTATTGGGGAATCGGTAGGGGGGGATGGGAGGAGGCGTAGGGAGGGGGAGGGGGTGTTGGGTGGGTAGGGGAGATACGAAAGGGGGTGTGGTTTGGTTTGTATATTATATATATACACATTTATAAATCAAACCATACATATATATATATATATATATATATATATATATATATATGTATATATAGAAGTGTGTGTGTGTTTGTGTTTGTGTGTGTGTGTATGTGTATGTGTTTGCATTGTAACGTATTTTTTCTATAATGTTTAAATTTTTGTCTTCTGTGTTTTTACTTTTGATGGTGTCTTTGAGGACACTAAGGTTTATGTGTATGTGTGTGTGTGTGTATTTGTGTTTGTGTGTGTGTGTGTGTGTGTGCGCGTGATGGAGATATATAAGTATATTGAAAAGATAACGGGTATCCGCTTCTAAGAAGAAAATTGATAAAATAAGACAAGGAAAGACACTCTCTCTCTCTCTCTCTCTCTCTCTCTCTCTCTCTCTCTCTCTCTCTCTCTCTCTCTCTCTCTCTCTCTCTCTCTCTCTCTCTCATCCTCCATTCAACCATCCTTCCATTCTCTCCCACCCCTCTCTCTTCCTTCCTTCCTTCCCCCCTTCATCCTTCCCCCCCCCCACCTCTATTCCTTCCATCCTCCAGTCCTCATTCTTTCCTCATCTCCCTCTAATCCTCTCCTCTCTCCCTCTACGCGCCCACCGATTGGGCAGGCCTACCCCCCCCCCATGTGGCATACCTCCCCTTCCCCATGTGGCCTCCTCCTTCCCTATGTGGCCTACCTCCCCTTCCCCATGTGGCCTACGTCCTGCCTCCCCCTCCCCCCTTCCCCTTTCCCCTTCCCCTTTGCGTCCGGCCATCCATCTCCCCGTAACAGCGTAACTATTTCCTCTCTCTCTCTCTCTCTCTCTTTCTCTTTCTCTCTCTCTCTCTCTCTCTCTCTCTCTCTCTCTCTCTCTCTCTCTCTCTCTCTCTCTCTCTCTCGGACATTCTTCGAAATCTGTGATGCCCGGAGGATTGAGATACAGCTTCCGGTTTTGATAATCAAATCGAAGGGCGGCGTCGGTAAGGGTGAGAATGGGGTGGCAGGGGTGGGGGGAAGGGAGGGAGGGAGGGGTGGGGGTGTGGAAGAGTGGAAGGGAGGGAGGGAGGGAGGATGGAGAGTGGGTGGAAGGGAGGGAGAGAAAGTGGAGGGTGGAGGGGTGGGAGGGAGGGAGGAAAGAAGGGTGGAGAGGGGGAGGGAGGGAGGGTGGGAGCAGAGGGAGGGAAAGAAGGAGAGGAGAGAGAGAGAGAGAGAGAGAGGAAAATGGAAATGGGGGAGAAGAGAGGGATAAGAATACGGGGAGGAAAAAAGAAAGGGGGAGAGACGCGAGAGACACAGAAATGGAAAGGGGGAGGAGGATAAGAGGAAGAGGAGAGGGATAAGAAGATAGAGAGGAAGAAGAAAGAGGGAGAGAGGGTTGGAATGAGGGAAGGGAAGAGGAAAGAGAGAGAGAGGAAGATTAGAGAGGAAGGAATAGGATAAGAAGGGAAGAGAAAGAGCAGAGAAAGAGGACGAACAAACAAGAAAAAAGAAAGAAAGAAATGATAAAGAATGAGGAAAACAAAGAGAAATACACAAGAAAATAAGAATCAAAGTGCAAAGGATAAAGAACTAAAGGTATTAAAAGAGTTATAATGAAATATAATTTTAATAAAAAAAGAATGGATGAGAATAGAGAACGAAAAATAAATAGGAACTGGGAACCATCCGATTAACGAAAAAAAAAAGAAAAATAGAACAGAAATAAGATTTTTTTTTTTTTTTCAATTTCTCCCAATCTCTTTCTCTTTTCCATCCCTTTTTTCCTTTTCTCTCTCTTTATCTTTTTTTCCATATTTTTCTTTCCTTCTGTCTTCTCCCTTCATTCCTTCTTCTGTCTTTATCTCTCTTTTATCCTGTTTTTTCCATCTTTCCTCTTCCTTCATCTCTCTTTTTTTCAATCTTCTTCCTTCATTCTTTCCTCTCTCCTTTCCCCTTCCTCCTCTCCCCTTTATTCTTTTTTATCAATCCTTTTCCTTTCATTCTTTCCTCTCTCTCTCTCTCTCTCTCTCTCTCTCTCTCTCTCTCTCTCTCTCTCTCTCTCTCTCTCTCTCTCTCTCTCTCTCTCTCTCTCTCTATTTCTCTCTCTCTCTCTCTCTCTCTCTCTCTCCTCTCCTCTCTCTCTCTCTCTCTCTCTCTCTCTCTCTCTCTCTCTCTCTCTCTCTCTCTCTCTCTCTCTCTCTTTCTCTCTCTCTCTCTCCCCCATTTTCCTCCCCCTCTCCCTATTCATTCCCCCCCTCCCCCCCACCACCCCCCACACCCGGAAAAAAAAAAATCCGCAAGGTGAGGGCGAGGGCGCAGACAAGGGTGACTCCGACCGCCCGACCCGCCCACCGCAGCGGTAGATCACGCTCGATAACTCGCCCGCCCACCGCCAGGGGGACAGACGACAGAGCTACGCGATAGATGGCTCTGTTATTGGGCGCCATTACCACCCTCGGTTCCTTACGTCTTTATCGCCGGACATTCTCCTCGGGTGGGCATGGGCTGGGCACGGTGGGGGGGAAGGGAGGGGATGGGGGGAGGGGGAGGAGGGGAGCGCCGTGTGTTTCTTTGGTCTTGTTTTGGTTTTTGGTTTTTGGTTTTCTTGTTTTGGTTTTGGTTTGGTTTTCTTGTTTCGCTTTTCTTGGTTTCTTTGTTTTACTTTGTTTTTTCTTCTTGTTTCGTTTCTTCTTGGTTTCTTGGTTCTGCCTTTTTTTCTTGTTTTATTCTTCTTGGTTTCTTTGTTTTATTTTTTTGTTTGTTTGTTTGGTTTTGATTTTTTATTGTTTTGTTTTTCTTGGTTTCATTGTTTTGTTTTTCTTGTAATGTTTTTCTTGGTTTATTTTTGTTTGTTTCTTGTTTTTTTGGTTTATTTTTGTTTGTTTCTTGTTTTTCTTGGTTTATTTTTGTTTGTTTCTTGTTTTTCTTGGTTTGTTTTTGTTTACATTCTTATTTTTTGTTTTTTTTATTCGTGTTTTGTTTCGTTTTCTTTTTTCTTCTTTCACTGCAGTATTTTGCATTTCAAATAAAACCACTTTCGCTTTCCGTTTTCTAAACAGTATATCAAAAAAAGAGAGAAAGAAAGAAAGAAAACATTGTTCGGATTATGAACAAGAAAGAAAGAAATTATTGTTCGAAATATGAATAATGATAAAAATAAAAAAAAACATGTTGATCGTATTATGAATAATAAATAAAAAAATCGAA